CCCCAAAACCCCAAAACCCCAAAACCCCAAAACCCCAAAACCCCAAAACCCCAAAACCCCAATTTTAAATATAATTATTGAAATCAATCTAAGAAGCTGGGGAAGAAAGTCATTTGATTATTTGTTTCATTGTGTTGTCTTTAAGCTCATTTTGTAAGTCTGAGAAGTTCCCACTATTGTTTACAATTATATCTGCTTTTTCACACTTAAGCTTTAATGGCATTTGAGCTCTGATTCTGTCTAAAGCTTGTTCTTCGGTAAGCTGATTCCTTGCCATAAGTCTTTTCTTAATTTTTTCTTCATCATCAACTGCAACAACAAGAATTGGATAGCAAATATACTCTAAAATTTTGGTTTCATATAAGAGAGGGACATCTAGGATAATAGAGCTTTGGTTTTCAGTAAATCTTAACCTCCAAAACTCTTTGATCATTTTCCAAAATATTTTTCCCTGCATGATACTGTTTAACTTCTTCCTTTTAGTTTTACTCTTAAATACAATTTCTCCAAGTTTTATTCTGTCAAGTTCGCCCTTGTCATCGAACACTTCTTCGCCAAATTCTTTCTTGATTTGATTTATGGTTTTAGGATCGTTGCTTACTTCTTTAGATATTTTATCTGAATCTATCACAGCAAATCCTGCATTTGCTAAAATATTTGATACAGTTGATTTTCCTGTAGAGATTCCTCCTGTTATTCCCATAACTTGGAATTTGTTCCCAAAGTATACCCCAAACAAGAGGAATAGGTTACTTAACATGGATGCAAGGAATGACGTCCTGATGAAAAACACCATAATTATGTAATGAAGCCCAAATAGGATAGTTAACACTTTTTGAGTGCTCTGCTCATATTTATTAGTAATTGCGTGCCATCTTACTCCAATATAAAACGCGACCAGAGTTGGCCCTAGCATATAGATAATGAAGAAGACCAAGGAGAGTATGTCCATTTCAATTAATTATATAAAACATATTCTTGGCAATCTGGGGTTTTGGGGTTTTGGGGTTTTGGGGTTTTGGGGTTTTGGGG